GGTCCGATCAGCACTTTCATCTGATACCCTCATGCACCTCAAGACGCAGTACGTCCCAATTTCTTGTCACGATGGTTTTAGTAGTAACTCCCTTATTGAGCAGACCCCACCATAGTTTTGGGCATTGCAGGGATCTTTGGCTTAGGTAAAAGAAGCATTGCTGCAGAGCAAAAGGGGAGGTCAAGGGGAAGGAAGAGTAAGTGAGGTTCAGACAGAGAGTGTAGCAACCAGCTTGACCATAAAAGTTTTTTATTGCCAGGTATATGAATTTATGATGATACCAGTAGTAATAGCCATACAAGAGAGACAAATAAACAGTTACAATACTGCATAGTTTCGATTAGGTATTTGGAGAAGTCTAGCTCAAGTTTGATCATCAAAAGTCAGGTTCCTGGAGTCAGAGAGAGAGAGAGAAAGAGTTGGAGTCTCACCACTCAGCGAAGCTTGAACCAGTCGAGGTTCCCAGGTGTTTGTTGGAGCTTGCAGACAGGCAGAGCCCTCAGCATGGCCAGTGGAGGGCTTCCAGGCAGAAAAGGAGTAGAACAGGTGCAGCTTTTGGATCCAAGCACCAGGACAGAAACTTGAGCTTAGGTAGGGGTTTTTGTAGAGAAATAACAATGGCTAAAGGGAGAGCACTAGGTTTGTTAGTGGGTAAATGATGGCTCATATGCTGGATAATAGGAACAGATCACTCCTGGCTATGAGTGATATTACTCTGAAGGATCCCCCATCATGCAGTGCTCCCCTGCTTCTCGGGTCCCAGAGTTCAGTGTGGTCTTAGCCTTGGACTCTCTGTTCTCCATCCTGAATGCTAATGAAGGTGCTGTCCCATCTCCCATGTAAATGAGTTGTCATTTGGTTCCATCTCAGTAGAATAAAGTACAGTATAGTATACAGTACTATCCATAGCATAGCATAGGCTATATTCTATCTATATACTATACTGTACTGTATTATATACTGTATTATATAATTAGATGTTATAATGCAAATGTGGCAGGTGACCAGCTTGGCTTACCAGAGAACTCTTCAGTGAGCTTAAACAAAAAAGGAAGCTTACAAAAAGTGGAAGCTTGGATAGATGACTAGGGAGGAGTATAAGAATATTGCTTGAGCATGTAGAGATGAAATCAGGAGCACCAAAGTGCAATTGGAGTTGCAGGTAGCAAGGGACATGAAGGGTTTCTACAAGTGTGTCAGCAACAAAAGGAAGGTCAAGGGAAGTGTGGGTCTCTTACTAAATGGGGGATGCAACCTAGTGACAGATGAGGCGGAAAAGGCTAAAGTATTCAATGCCTTTTTTGCCTCGGTCTTCACAGGCAAGGTCAACTCCCAGACGGCTGCTTCAGGCAGCACGGTTTAGGGAGAAGGTAACGAGCCCTCAGTGGTGGAAGAACGTGGTAGGGACTATTTAGAAAAGGTGGCTGTGTGCAAGTCTATGGGGCTAGATGCAAGGTATCTGAGGGTGCTGGCTGACTGTAGATTGCAGAGCCACTGGCAATTATCTTTCAAAACTTGTTATGATCAGGGGAGGTCCCAGACAATTGGAAAAGGGCAAATATAGTGCCCATCTTTAAGAAGGGAAGAAGGAGGATCCAGGGAACTACAGACCAGTCAGCCTCACCTCAGTCGTCAGAAAAATCATGAAGCAGGTCCTGAGGGAATCCATTTCTAAGCACTTGGAGGAGAAAAAAGTAATCAGGAATAGTCAGCATGGATTCACCAAGGGCAAGTCATGCCTGACCAACCTGACTGCCTTCTATAATGAGATGCCTTGCTCTGTGGATGCAGGGAAAGCAATTGACATGATATACTTTGACTTTGGTAAGGCTTTTGATATGGTCTCCCACAGCATTTTTATAAGCAAGCTAAGGAAGTAAGAGCTGGATGAATGGGCTGTAAAGTGGATAGAAAGCTGTCTGAATCATTGGGCTCAACAGCTGATCAACTGCTCAATGTGTATTTGGCAGCTGGTATCAAGTGGAGTGCCCCAGGGGTTGGTCCTGGTGCCTGTTTTGTTCAACATCTTCATTAATGATCTGGAAGATGGGATGGAGTGCACCCTCAGCAAGCTTGTGGATGACACCAAGCTGTGGAGGGTAGGTCTAGGATAAATTGGAGGATTGGGAGGAGACTTCTCATGAGGTTCAACAAGGACAAGTGCAAAGTCCTGCACTTAAAGTAGAAAAGTCCCATGCACCACTACAGGCTTGGATTTGACTGGATAAGCAGCAGCTCTGCTGAAAAGGACCTGGAGGTTATAGTGGGGGCTATAGTATATAAGCTGAATATGAGTCAACAGTGTGCCAAGAAGGCTAATGTCATACTGGGCTGCATTGGTAGGAGCATGCCAACAGATAGAGGGAAGTGATTATTCTCTTCTATTAGACATTAGTGAGGCCACATCTGGAGTACTGCGTCCAGTTTTGCCTCCCCCCACTACAGAAAGGATGTGGACAAGTTGGGAGAGTCCAGTGGAGGCAACAAAAATGGCTAGGGGGCTGGGACACATGATGTAGGAGGAGAGGCTGAGGGAACTGGGCTTATTTAGTGTAGAGAAGAGAAGACTATGGGGGGATTTAATAGCAGCCTTCAACTACCTGAAGGGAGTTCCAAAGAGGATGGCGCTGGACTATTCTCAGTGGTGGCAGAAGACAGAACAAGGAACAATGGTCTCAAGTTGCAGCAAGGAAAGTTTTAGTTGGATATTAGGAAAACTTTCTTTCTAGGAGGGTAGTTTAGAGGGAACAGGTTTAGAGAGGTGGTGGAATCTCCATCCTTGGAGGTTTTTAAGGCCCAGCTCGACAAAGCCCTGGTTGGAATGATCTAGTTGGGAATGGCCGTGCTTTGAGCAGGGGGTTAGACTAGATGACTTCCTGAGGTCCCTTCCAACCCTAATTTTCTATGATTCTGTTATACTCTGCAGGGATATATATGTACTATATATTACACTATATACTGTATATAGTATAGGTGTGTGTGTCTATGTGTGTATATATATAGGGAGAGAGAGAGGATGTTATACTCTGTAGAGATTACTGTGCTTTTTGGGATTTCATTTTGAAGCAATCTCAATTTAGCTGTTTAAAAAGGAATAGGGAATAGGTTTAATAAATAGCTTAAAAGAGTCTAAGTTCTAGCTATGTAACTCTAAAGCTTTGCCAAGAGGCTGGATGGGGGCACAGAACTCTTTATCTGTGTAAATCAGTAGTAAATTGATATCCTCACCTTATCAAGCATATGTTTACTAAAATATTACTTTTAAAAAGGAAATGAATGTGGTATCATGAATATAGCAATGTGGTATTTATAACTATGGATAAATATTGACTTTAATGTAATTGTCAATTTTTCCGTTTCTCCATATTTTTAGCCCAGGGCAGTCTCTTAAAATACTAGTTACTGGGATAAAAAAAGAGGAGAAAGGCAATTATTAGAAGGTATTTTAGGTTTCTCGGACTGAGGGGCTTTGATAAGAACTTTTCTACTTCCAGAGTTTATTACTTGTGCGTTTATGTAATTTTAAAAACTTGCACCTCGCCTCTCTCATTTAATAACTGGATAGAATTTGTTCCAGTAATACTCAGTGGGTGCATCTACATGTGCCCCTAACTGTGCATTTGGTACTGCACAGTCATTTAGTACTTGCTTTAGCAGGTACTACTACAACTACTGCACGGTCCTGGCAGTGCACGGTTATTTTAAAATGCTATGTCACTACAGCAGTGTAGCAGCGGGGTCATGATTTGTTTGCTACGGCAATGTTATGTCTCGTGTGAAGTGGCTCAAGCAAATTTACTAAACTTTTACCTACTTCTAAAAAGTCATGAAAGATGTAGTCCTCCAAAAGTTAATTTTCTGAAATGCATGAAGAATTGGAAGCTAAACCCTAGTTTCATTTTAAACAGCCCATTTTAGTATCTTACTATGTTGAAAAAAATACTGGTAGAAGTCATTAGAACTATATATACAAGAACTGGCTTGAAATTACAGCTTTAAGAAGCACTGTCTTTCTGCTCTTCAGCTATGTGTAACATTCCAGTTGTCTAAGATCTTACATTTTGAGTATTTCACAGGACTTTGCAGCTTAATGTACATCTTACAGAACAAGTAAATACCCATTTTTATTGGCTATCTTGGCATAAAATATTTTATTAGACTGACAAAGCTAAATCGTGGTAAGGTGCTATAGCACTGTATTTTATTTGGGTTTGCTCATAATTTAGTCCCTCCATCATATCACAGGTCTCATTGGAAATTTCATGGCTATCTGTATCAGTTTCTGCTGACTAGAGAGCTCTAAGACCTGGCTGTATGAAGCATCTCTCCCCTCCACCCGCACACTGCTCTGAGCTGTATGCTGCCAGGAGCCACAGCTAGGCAGAGGAGCTGTGTGGGTGGCTCTGTGATAGTCCAGGGATGGGGCCAGCTACACACTGGGCTGGAGCAGTAGAGTGTGACCCATGTTGCAGCAGGCCACCCTGCAAGAGCAGGGTTGCAGGGAGCCACAAAGCATAGGACTGCAAGGTAACTTGAGTCAGGAGGGGATCTGGGGTAGAAGCTTGATAGACTGGTTTAACCTAAATCAGTTAAGTCTGATAACTACATCCATCATGGGTGACTGGTGCCTCCTAATACTGGGGGGGCACTAGCGGCCAATTGCCGACTGGGGTGGGGAGGTCCCCCAGCAGCCAATTGCTGCCACCAGCAGAAGTGCCAGCAGCAAAACCAGAAGTGCCAGCGACACACCCGGAAGTGCCGCTGGCGCTTCTCTCAGGGGGGACATGGCCAATCTCAAGGGGTCTAATTAGGAAAAAGCCTTTATTGATTCTCTCTTTGGAATTTTTTAACAAGAGTGATGGTACATTTTTTTGAGATTAATTTGTCCTGCTATGGCAACCTTTTTGAGTAGGTCATTATAATGCAACAGTTGTACATTGCTCGTTTTCAGAATGTATATTGTGCATATCTTTATAACTAGAATCTTTATAACTCTCTAGATATTGATGAGTGCTCAGAGCAACCAACTGTATGTGGCAGCAATGCAGTCTGTAATAACCAACCGGGAACTTACCGATGTGAGTGTGTTGATGGCTATCAGTTTTCAGCTGATGGACGGAGTTGTGTGGGTAAGTTGAATTAGCATCTCTAAATTCACATACTGCCATATTTGCACGGTATGGCCCATTGTATAGAATATAGTGCTCAGGACTCCTGAGCCCTATTCCTGCTTCTGCCGTTGACTCATTCCTTTGGACAAGTGACTTAACAGTGTTGGGGAAAATATTTTCAAACAATTGAGCTTATGTCCTTTTCTTCATACTTAAAGGCAGAAGGAATTGTTAAATTACCTTATTTAGCCCCACCTGAATATCAGAGGACCTTAGTTTTCATCCAGTTACCTCCTATCTTGAACTGACAACTTGAGCCATAACTTGTTTTTGGCTAAAGCTCTAAGGAGAACTAGAAGCATCCCTGCTCGAAAATGATTCCTCATGGACAGCCACTTTTTGAAACCTAACAGTTAATCAGTTCTGAATCATTTATTGCTATTGTAGAGTGGTAATTACTTTAATTGGAATGTCCTGCAGTACTCAGTAAAGTGCCTCACAAAAGTTTTGAGTAAATTACATCTACAGATTACATCAACCTAATTTTATAATATCTTCAGAGAATAAAATCTAGTTCATTTGACAAGATATACTTACCTTCATGGTAACTCTTTATCAGTTAAAACCCATATCTGCTTTTCCATTATTTTGTCTACTGTTGGTGTGAGGCTAACTGTCCTCTATCTACCCAGGTCATCCTGCTTGTTCTTTCTGTATATTGGAGCACTGTTAGTCCCTGCTGTGCTCCCACCACCATCACCACCAACGTGCTTCCGCCACTGTGCCCCTTCCAGCCGCCAGGGGTACGCATCGTTCATAAGTTTTACCATCTCTCTCTACGAATAGGCCTCTATTATTGCTTGGATTTGCTTTGTTCGTAAGATACTTAGTCTTCCCAGTTACAGATTTGTCTCTGATATCTGTAGCTTTTTATATTAATACCTAACACTTCATTTCTAACTCAGATTGTTTTGCTGTACATTTACCTATTTGTCATATTTTTTTATTTCTAATTGATGCCTTCCTTTCTGCACTTTTTTTAGCCATCATAAAGATCAAAGGAATTAACCTTTTTTTTTCCTTTTGGGAGCCATCTCAAAAATGGAGAGAAAGATAGCTACCAACATTTGTGAAGCACCTAGAATTCTTTTCAACCACAGACCTCTTATATAGAGTTTAGAGTATGGTTTAGATAGGAGTGGCCCTACTTCAGGCAGGCGGCTGGACTAGGTTACCTCTGGAGGTCCCTTCCAGCCCTGCTTTTCTATGATTATATGACCACAGTATTATTTATCTTTATTAAAATAAAAGATTATTTTGGCAGCTGAGATTCGCTCAACTAAATTGCCCTGTACCTTGAATGTAAATCTAAGTAAATGCTGTATTTTAAATTCGGGAGTGTTGGTTATAGCTGGATTGATCTAAGGACACAGGCAGAAAAGGTTCTTGGGGTAAATGTGATATCTTTTATTAGACCAGCTAAATAGTTGGAAAAATTGTTCTTTGCAAGCTTTTGGGCACAAGCACCCTTTTTCAAGCATAAGGAGAGCCTGATGGTGTTTGTGTTCTCTCTTGGGTGGAACAGAAGCGTAAACCAATATGCAAAATGCAGGTGTGTGAAAATGCAAATGCATGGCAGGGAAAATCAGAGGGGACAGGAGACAATAGGTGTGAGATATGTAGGTGGGGCAAGAAAGCAGGGAATATTGACTTGGTGATAGAATTTAGCTGGTACAATGTATAGAGAGTTTACCTGGGGTCATTGGTTGGCAGGCTGGTTATAATGTACCATAAATCCAATGTTTATATTTAGTCCATGATTTTTTGTATCCAGTAGATTTATGAAGTGAAGTTTGTAGGCTTATCTACAAAAGGTGTTTTGTAAATTCTATCTGAGGATTAGAAATGAGAGATTGGCGAGAGAATGGTTTTCTTCTGAGAAGTGTGCACCCACAGGTAATTGGGAATTTTTGTCTTTGATAGATTTTCATTGTGCATTCATTCTGATATGCCATTCTTGTTTGGTTTCTCCTATGTATTTTCCATAACGGCATTCAGTGCACTGGATGAGATGCATTACATTTCTAGAGGTGCAGATGTAAAATCCAGGAATGGTGATGGTTCTGTTGTGGGATGTAGCTCTTGTGGGTGTGGTGGAGATGTGTTGGCAGGTTTTATTTTTCTTGTCCTGGAATGGTCTGGATCCATTCAGTGTGCTTCAGGCCATAGGAAGTTTGCTTCTGGTGATAAGGTTGGTGAGGTTTGGTGCTTGTTTAAGGTTGGGGGGTGGTTCTGGAAAGGACTCTTTAAGAACTGGGTCTTTTTATAGTATGGGTAGTAATTGTTTGAGGATTTTCCATATAGGTTCCAGGGAAGGATAGTATGTCATAATTAATGATGTGCAATTCATGGGGATTTTCTTTTTGTACTGAAAAAATTCTTCATGTGCTATCTGGGTGGCTCTTTCAAAAGTGTGAGGAGGAGTGTCCTTGTTGGTTGAAAGCCCTTTTGTGATTTGCAAGGTGACAATCTTGGGTGTTCTCCTCAATGCAAATTTAGTGGTTCAGAGGGCTTGGATGTATATTACAGCTTTCTTGGTGTGTTTAGGGTGATTGTTGGTTTTGTATAGATATGTATGTTGGTCTGTGGGTCTCTTGTATATGGTGGTTTGTATTTTACCATTCTGGATAGTGATCATAGTGTCTAAAAAGGAAATATTGGTGCTGGCGTATTCAAGAGACAGTCTGGTGGAGGTATGATGATTATTGAATTTGTGATGGAAATCAATCAGAGTTTGCAGGCTTTCAGTCCAAATGATGATGCCATCTATATATCTTAGGTATAGCATGGGTGTGATGGTGCAGTCCTTGAGGAATTCTTCTTCCAGGTGGCTTATAAAAAGGTTGGTAAAATGTGGGACCATTTTAGTGCCCATAGCTTTGCCCATGGTCTGGAGGAAGTGTTCATTATTGAAAGTGAAGTTGTTGTGTGAGAGGACGAAGTGCATACGTTCAGTAATATCTTGAGGTCTGTGCTCTGAGTTGTAATCTTGCTCTTGTAGATCTTGCCTCTTGTAAGGCAGGCTTGGATCTCATCCCAGTGTGGGATGTTGGTATATAAGCAGGTAACTTCCATGGAGGCTGGGAGGGTGTTGCTGGGAAGGTGGTCTGTGTTTTTAAGTTTTCATAGAAAGTCTGTTGTTGTAGCTTGGGAAAAACTCACTCTTTGGGTAACAGAAGGATTTAGGATGGATTCAGTGTAACCTGATGTTTCCTCAGTTAGGGTTTTAAGGTTGGATATTATAGGTTATAGGTCTGCCTGGGTTCTCTTGTTTGTGGATTTTAGGGAGCATGTAAAAAGTCCCTGGGTCGGGTAGCAGGGAGATCAAATTCTATAGTGTTTCTTGTAGTTCATTCTAGTTCGTATTTAAAATTAGCTCTTTTTGGTTTTTAGCTTTGTCTCCTACTTGTCAGTTACTTTGATCTGTAGTTTGCAAACATTAATGAAATTCAAACTTGCAAGGGACAAAAATTTGGAGTGATTGCTAACATGCCATCTCATTTCACATGCCCAGTTTTTAAGGCAGGTTAATCTTGTTCCAGTTGTAAACCATCTCAGTACATTGCCCCTACTCTGGGACAGGCCTCTGTTTCTGAGCCATGTACTGCGGGGAAGTCTAAAGATGAGTTAGTTACAGTCCATGTGGCTGGAACATGGACTTCTGATTCTTTGAAAGGGACCCAAACACCTATGTTCAAGAGGCCTGCTTGCTGCCCTGGTAATATTTTACTTTGCAAGATTTTAAATTGTAAAAAAAAAAGCTTATTTACATCTTAGGGACCATAAAAGACAGTTCTTTCACTTTTCTTCAGAAATAGCTGATGGGAAGAGGGAGAATTCATAAGGGGGGAGGGAGTTCATATACTTTCAGCATAGTAGTCTTCTAAGTAACACTCTTACTTGCATAATATAGAGTGGAAGTTAAAACAAGTTAACCTGACTTCCCCTGGAGGCAGATGGCAGTCTTGAAGTTCATACCAGATCTTGCCCAAAGGAAATTAATTAAATGAATTTTTAAAAAAATCTGTCAGAACATTTTAGGCAATCTCAGTCTCAAGGATTTGTAGAAAATTATTTTAAGCCATGATAATGTCAAATAGCTGGTGAAAACTTTCAATTAATAATTTGGCTTGGTAGATTCATTTAATGAATTTTTTTCTTCTTTACATATTTGGTTATTTTAATCTCTGCCTGGTGGTAACACGAATCTTAGAATATATAATTAGGCAGATCCTTATCTAGGCCTACAGAAAGATTTTCTTGCTCTCAGGTTTTCGATAAAATTGCAAATGATTAATTTCTGTGGTAGCTGACAAAGTTTAAAGAAGTTAGTGCACGACTTGTTAAAAGTGATTAACTTTTAAATACAGGATAATTTTCTATGTTGGATTTCAGGGTCAATACATAGGGCACGCGGGTGCACATGCACCCTCCCTGAGTGGGGCCATGCACCCCCTACAAAAAGGTGCCACCTCCTGCAGGCAGTTGCCGCTTGCCACCCCGCCGCTGACACCACTAGCAGCATCTGTGGGTGGTCCGCAATTGGCGCTGGCTGCCACCACCACTGCTGGCAGCGCCTGTGGGTGCTTGCTCCCCACCCCCGACAGCATCGGTGGCATGTGCGGGAGCTCTGCACTTACCGCCACTGCACTCCCACTACTGCCAGCGCAGCTGTGCCCCCCAGCCTCTGGGGGCACATGTTGTTCATGTTGAATTTTCCCTATCTCTGGTGTTGTGTGGGTTCTTTGGGATGGCGGATATGTTACAGATCTCAAGAAGTCAAAAATCAAATGCTAAGGAAGTTCATCCCATTGTATTGTTTCTCCAGCCCTTTGAGTCATCCACTTCTTTCTGCATGATACTCTGATCTTCCCCTGGGTTGTCAAACAGTGGAACCAGGTGTTTGCCTTTATCCATGATGTTGGAACTCTATCTCTTTACACCTATCCTCCCATTGTCCCTTCTCCTCCCACCTGGGTTAGGATGACATATTGAAAGACAGGTATGCAAGAGACAAGGATTTTTGTGAGTAATATCTTTTGAATGCAGTGCTTTCTTCTTAACTTTTTCCGAACTTTTCCCCACCTGGTGTCCAGTACTCTTTTCTGCCATGGCATGGGGTCGGACTAGATGATCTACTCAGGTCCCTTCCAACCCTAGAAACTATGAAACTATGGTGACACCACCTTCAGTCTGCTGTCCCCTCAATAAGGTTTATCCTTGTAGCATGTCTAATAAATACTTCTCGGCAAATTCTTCCTCAGCAAAACTGCTGATTCCTGATTTGCTCCCTTTTTTCTCTGAAAGACATGGTAAAGGTGCATTCTGAAGGGCACAGGACTGGAGGGAAAAGTGAAATAATTTTTCTTGCAGGACAAAAATACATCTGGTGCCTCTTCCCTTGTTTCCTCCTTCCCCATTTGAAGGGAAGGCTCCTATCTTTCATTGTGCTCCTTTGACATGCTCTGTGAACACTCTGAACTGCCTTTTCTGAAACAGCAACTTTTTCATACTGCTTCTTTGACCCATAAATTGCACGGGGAAAGAGCTGAAAGTAGGGATTGTTCTTGTATTACTGGCTGAAGCTTAGGAGCCCAGAGTACATAGTGCCTTATGCTCATAGTTCTATGATTCAGCCTATTTTCACAGAGCAGAACAAATCTTCTGAATCATTCCAACTTTGCCATCTGCTGGGGCTCCCCATTTGGAAAAGCTGAGAAAGTGACTCTCGTCATGGATTTTGTTTTCTCTTGATACTATCTTGATGTTCCTCAGTACATTGCTGGGAGAGCAGCAATCCAAGTTTTGCACTTCCAGTCTCCCTGTCTTTCGCAATACAGACCCGCTGAAGGATAGACTGCTGGAGCAGTGTTGCAGCAGCAGTTGAAACACTATTAGGGAAATACAGCCTGCAGAATCAAATATTTAGACCATGAGAAACCTTTAGTTTTATTTTTGGGACTTTTAAATTGCAAGTGTCTCTTTCTGCTCCTTGAGCATAACAGGTGGGAGCGGGAAGAGCCATGGGGAATGCCACCCAGGGCAAAGACATCCCCCAAAATTTTGCATGTTAATAATAACATTTTTAAAAAAATCCTCATCCCCACAAATATGTGAGTATCCAATACATCTAGCCAAGGTAGGTATTGTGGTAGTAGATGCCATTGTAAGTAGATGGTGTAATAACAGAAAATCTGAAAAGCTGTGGGGTCTTACCAAGCCCCTGCAGGATAACCCAAGCCTCTCTCCATTAATTTAAAAACATGTGCACCTCCTGAGACAGAGTATCTTTCTGTTGCCAAGTGATGACAATCTTGGGTCATATGTGGGTTATTTTAGCAGGATAGTAAATCATTCCCAGTACAATGAACTGCTAGTTCAGCCAACATGTAAAAAGCCCACGCAGGGCCGTTTTCTTAACTTCTTGGCATTCAGGATTTCCTTACATAAAGGGAAAAAAATCCATTAAGTGTTAGGATCTCTGTTTGTATATCAGTAAGCACTTGGCCCAAACCTGTAAGGTGCTTTGCATTATCAGGTCTTTAATTTATAAAATGGCCCTGGCCTGCATAGATTTTTAGAGAGCTAAATAAAATTAAGTTTCCTTTCTGTTTACTGATCTCTAAAAATTTTTTTTTTCTCTGAAAGTTATCTGTAGATGCAGGTTGTTAAGGAAAAAGGAAACTTTATACATTCAAATTTCATTTTATGAATTGTTTGCATCTAACCTACAGCAGTCGAACATGTGATAAACCATTGCCTGGCAGGCACACACAACTGTGATATTCCTCAGCGTGCCCAGTGTACATATGTTGGTGGGTCATCGTTCATCTGTTCCTGTCTCTCTGGCTTCTCTGGAGATGGACGTGCCTGTGTAGGTGTGTAGTGCCATTTATTGATGTGCTTGTTTTGTTTATTGTAAAGTTTGTTGATCCTGTAGGTGCCAATAAGTCAACAGATATCAATGTGGATTTTGTTTCACCATATATTAGCTGGTTCTAATCTAAATAGCTGACTGATTTTAAATGTCGTGATTGATAGGTCACTTGCCAAACACACTTCAGTCTCTAAATTGTTCCTTCCAACCCCCTTACTCTGTAATATTGTAACTGGTAATAGATAAACATAGGTGCAGTAGATAAGCAGCCTGGTGTGTTACAAAAGTTGCAGAAGTATTAAACAGTTTTAAAATTATGGTGACCTAAGGTCAGTTCCTTAGTTGATGTAGATCAATATAGAGTTATGCGAGTTGTCTTCATCTGAATCTAGTGCACTATGTAGGTTTCCCTCGCTTTATGCTGTACATGCATTCCTGGAAAACAGTTCATAACTCAAATGTGCTCAAAGGGAACCCATTTTACAGTGAACAAGTAGGGATACATTCCAAGACCTCAACTGTACTGACCCCCAGACTCATTTCTACCACCTTTACAAGACAATTTTGGTATTCACCAACAGCAGACGGTATACATAAGCACAGGGCACTATCATAATGGGGCTGGCAACTACAGAAACAGCTGTCGCAGACAATGGGCAAGGAGCACAGATCCACACAGGAGACTGTTTTGGTGCACATCACTCCCGCAACGCACTGCACAAAGCAGCTGACTGCAGGCTTCCAATACACCAACTGCATAAGAGTGAAATTACCTTGCATATAACGAATTTTTGGTATAAAAAGGGTCATCACATAAGAGTGAATTTGCACGTACAGAACCTGCATAAAGTGAGGGAAACCTGTACCTGCAACTCTGAACTGGTAATTTGCTTTCTTTCACATTTAGTTAGTTTGCAGTGCAGCAATGGCTTTCCATAATTCTGTGCCTTAAAACCATCAACAACCAAATTGAACCTATTTTATAATATCTACTGATTTATAGCTCTGTTGTGTGAGAAACTAGAATTATTCTTTTTTTAAATAAAAGTGGCTAAGTTATTGCTCTGACAAATTGTTATCAGAGCTTTTTGTTAGCTTTTTATGTAGACTTCAACCCCTTACTACTAGGGGCAGTAAAGAGAGAATATTTTTCAAAGCACCCAAATAATTTAGGAAACTAAGTCCCACTGAAAGTCAATAGAATCTGGACTCGTAGGAGAATTAGTCATTTTTAAAAACAAGACTTAGGCTCCTAAACAATATAAGTACATTTGAAAATATTGTGTGTGATGTGTAGCCTATTATTTCTCATGAGAAAAAGAGTACCTGGCCTGATCTTTTGTTTTACAGATGTAGATGAATGTCAACAGAACCGCTGTCACCCAGATGCTTTCTGCTACAACACTCCAGGGTCCTTCAGATGCCAGTGCAAGGCAGGTTATCGCGGGGATGGTTTCCAGTGTGTGTTAGGAGGTAAAATTTTATAGTTCTTGTATTTAGGATCAGAATGAAAGTTAAGGAATCAGAGATAAATATTTATCCAAGTTCCTCTTTAGGACAAACCACGTCTTTGGGCACGTTAACATGTGCTCTGAGGGTAGGGGGTGCAGCACTTTAATTTGAGCAGCTCTGAGAGCAGCTCCTGTATCAGCATCCCCATGCTTAAAAATGGTGGTGGAGATGCTTGAACTAATGCTTGTTCGGCGAGCTTTAGTTCAAGTACCTCCTCCCCCATTTTTAAGCATGGGGATGCTGATATATGAGACTCAGGAGGCTGCTGGAGCATGGCAATTGTCATGCTTCTGCTGACTCGATTAATCTAATTTGTTCCAATGTGCTGGAATTCTAACACACTGGAGCAGCCTCCATGCGCATGCATAGGTGCCATTCATCTTTATAACCATTTTCCCTTTTTTATTTTTTTAGATTTATCAAATTGGTGATTATTCTAGCTGTCAAAATCTGTCATGTGCCAAAAAAGTTTTTCTGCCTCTATTATTTTAAAGTACAATAATGTATCCACGGTGAGTTTCTGGACCTGAGGCTTTCAGATGTATATAGGGCCTAACTGAAGCTTATCTCTGTGTAGTAATTTCTTTGAAGCTTCTTTCAAGAATGGCTCACTCTATATATGCATTCTGGCAATATTGCACAACGCTGAGTGTCATCTAGTAAAACCTTACATTTGACTAGATATGGTTTTAAAACATCCTGATCTTTTTGAAAGCTCGCCTCCATATGTATTTACATGACCTACAGCAATGATCTGCTCTGTAACTGAAGCTTATTTTTTTCCTTATCCTTCCTCCTTAAGGCCCTCTGCATTTCCTCATTGCCCAAGAAATGAAAATATTAGAATTAGGTGCTTATTCCTTAACCCAGAAAGGCAAACACACCACACACACACATCCCACCACACACACACACACACACACACACACACACACACACACACACACACACACACACACACACACACACACACACACACACACACACACACACACACACACACACACACACACACACACACACACACACACACACACACACACACACACACACACACACACACAATATACAAGAGTAAGAATGTATTTTGAGCTATTATGCAGTTGCCGTTAGATACGCTATGCAAACACACATAAACCAGGACATTTTTTTTTTAAATAAAATTAAAATAAATTACAGTAGATGTTTGACTTTTTTAGTACATGATTTTTCCCCCCAGTTTCAAGATGGTACCCTCCCTCCCAAAAGGAGTAGTTCTGGGGTAAGGGGAGGGACTTTGGTTGGCAAAGGTCAGAGGTTAGAGGTGGGACTTCTGGCCCCAAGGTGGCAACCAGGAGGTGGGGCACCAAGGGGTGGGGCTACCCTTGCAGCTTTTGACAGCTGACCAAGACTCATTAAATGGCCCTCCAGCCGAAATAATTGTCCGTCCCTGCCTTAAACCACAGGTGTCAAACTCACCCTGAGCCCCATGCTGGATCCAGATCACAGGAGCGCCTTCTGGTCCAGACCTATGAAAACAGTGGCAGATATGACAGGTCCAGGGACAGGCAGCGCCTGAGTTTAAGGGCAGGCAGTGGCATAGTGGGGGCATCACTCGCCCCCTGCTGCCAATAGTTATGTGCTTGGTTTTGGGCCCAGAGACCCCAAAATTTTCTGCAGGCCATGCCCCAGTAGCCTTGCCCCTCAACTTCAGCTACGCTGTTGAACTATCAGTAGGCCAGATCTGACCTGTGGGCAATGTTTGACACCCTTGACCTAAATTAATCCACTAATAACCAGCCTGAAGAATGTCATTCAACCAGATACTCAGTCTTTACACTAAATAAACTGGTAGTTTCCCCTTCATCGTGTACAAGTATCGGCTTTGCTTTTTTTTAAAATACAAAACATGTGAGTGAATCTAGCCACTGTTGGAAAATGGGTTTCTTGAAACAATTACTCTGAAAAGTAATGATGAGGCTGAGTTGCAAATGTTGGACTTAGATCTGAACTTTATTAGTAAACTTTAAGGTTTTTGGTTTCAGGAAAAGTGGAGTCAGACAAAACTAAAAGAGCCTTTATTCTTACTGATAGAAATCTAATCTTGAATAATGAGTTCCACAGGGCTACTATCAATCTGGTTTTTTGCTCCTTTTTTAAAACACATGGTAAATCTTTTCTCGGAAGCAACTATAGGAAATTGTCTGGAGTTTTACATTCATTCCAGGGTTATCCAGCTTGTTATTGAAAGAGTTAATGATGGAAGTAGTGGCATTCCAGCAGCTATTAAGAATGTCTGACCTTCATTATTTCCTCACGCTTCATTTTTTCAGTTCAAAAAGAAACAGATGTCAGTTCCCACTCCTGCAGACCCCGGAGACTATGTTTACTAAACAGAAACCAATCCAGATTCTTGGACTGGGGAGTTATGACCACTAAAAGCCAGTCACTAGTATTGTTAATATGTGGATAATCCATTTCACATGAGAAATGCACTAGTGGTCTTGCTTTCTATTTGCAGCACATTACCACAAGTGAAGGATGACAAAAGCAAAGTGAATGGAGATATTTTTTTAAGTTGACATTTATAACCTATTAGGGGGTTTTTTAATTGCCCTAAGAGGAGCAATTGAAAAGCCTTCTGTAGCTTCTTCTGGTACTTGGAATAAATTTAACCAAGCAAGAAAATAGAAATTGCTGTTAGATTACATTAACAACTGTGGGCACAATTTTCAAAGCACTTGCTGTAGGTTCAGTTTGTGAACAAAAATGTTTGAGTTGTTAGATCAGAAGTTAAATAGATTTCAATGGCATATAAAATTAAGTATGTGAGTCTGGCATGATATCAAAGCCAGTACCTAATTACTTTTGCATGTGAAGTGAAGTTGGACGAGACGTGTTCCAATACATCATTGGACCCAAATGTACATAACTGAAGTTGGCATAAATGCCAAAAGAGAGTCAGACCAAAAACAAATGTTCATTGCTTTAGAAAGGCTGGACTTCTGGATTACGTGTTCAGAAGACACCATAGTTACTTATGTGCGTACACTGGCATAAGTCCTAGAGAAGAAGTAGGAAGGACTCCCATCCTTTAGCAAGAAGTGGGAGGCTCAGATTCACATCTAGAGGGTGTTTGAACAGAACGCTATCAAGCTGTTTGTGACACTTACTGTCAACGTTTTTTCCTTACCAGGCACTATCCACCCATCCTTGCACACATGTTAATGTACATGTTTGCTTAAGCTATGTTTATAGGCCTTTTGGCTAAGATCAAGTATAAGACAAGACAAAAGAACTGAACAAAGATAAAAATGTTGGACCTACCAACTCTGGCAGGTCTAATTGTGTTTGTGCATTTAAAGCAATGTTTTGTAAGCACTGATGAGAGCACTGCCTCCTTTTCAGGTATGAAGTAGATCAGAGCTGTACTCAGGCATAAGAGTATTACCTTCTTCAGGGATACTTCCTTTAAGGAGCTGAGCAGAGAGATGAACTTAGGTGTTTGGGTTGCTGGATCACCACATTCCCAGCATATAGGGCCCACTCAGAATGAGACGTAGAGATTCAAAGCTTTCCTTTCTTCATTCCTTGTTCAATGCTACTCTTCAGAAGTGGCTATCCTCTAGTCCCCATCATTCTTTACTACTGTCCGACAAAAAGCACACAACAGTCTCTCTGCCTTTGCAACATAGTGCTCACAATTCAAACCACTATACCACAACTTAACCCTTATCCAGTCCCTTCTCCAGTGCCCCTTTTGAAGCTGGGCCACAGCAGCATTAAATAGTTTTGGATAAAATGAATGGTAAGCAGTGCAGTAGGTTCTGCCCTATTGGGAGCAATGGGTCAGGCTGGAATCCAGAGCAAATGCCCTTCCAGGGCAGTTTCTGTCTTCCTGAGCCACACACTCTAGTTTGCTTGATTTCTCTTAGCTCTGTGTATTTCTCTGTGCTGCCCAGAGAGCCAGCTTCAAAAGGAGCCTTCATGATGCCTAATCTGTGGTGTTGAGAACTATGCTGGGGAATGAGAAAGATATGTGTTCAACCCCATTCTGACAGGAAAAGCCTAGAGCCTGGGTCTCCAATCTGCTGGTTATGTGCCCTAACCAGGCAGCTGTTGGTGCTAAAACATGGAAGAGGCCTCCTCTTCTGTCATGTTTTTGTTTGGCTAGACTTTTGTGACTTACGTACATAGGTAGCCATGTACATACCTGGTCAGCACGCAGCCTCCTGAGCATGCACAGCATACACACATGCATTTACATATCCACAGTGCACAGGTAATAGAGTTGCAAACTGCATAAGTGCTATAACAACTGTTTACACAGCTGAAAAATTGCCACTTAGGTACATAAAGAGCAATGAAATTCCACCCATGTAACTAAACAGGACAGGTACTGCAGACCCACACCCAATGTGTTTGACTCAGTGGGACTTGTCGATATTCAGCACACTGAGGGGATCTGGTTCCAGTTGATATGACACAGTAAAACTGCTGTTTTCAATTTTTATAACCATTGGCCTCTTCATAGGAGCCATTGCTCCCTTTTTAACTGATACCATATGTTAGATGTTTAAGATATTTGCTACTAATTTAGATCCCTTTCAGTACTGTTTCTTGGAATTCCCAGTGCAATGGGAGTTTTGATTGGGTAAGAAGTCAAGAAAGCTGTTCATAATTTAAATTGTATTGTGTAGTCAATACTGTGTGATGACTTGGGGAAATTGTGAGTTCTGAGCAATCATGGGAGCCTTCATCTATAAAACTTCTATTGTATTTGCAGTAAGGCATGCGTTTTAAAGCAGACACATTAAAAGAATAGCTCACCGACTAGGCAGAAGGGATGATGTATTGAAGGAAAAGAAGGCTCATAGCCATAATGTTGTTTTTTTTCTGGAAGCTGACTTATACAATGGGTATTGCACTAGTGAAATACATGTAGAACTGTTGTTATATGTTTTGTCTAACTTATTCTGTTG